TGAATGTAAATTCAGCATCAGTTAAACTTACCATGAAGTTTATACGCCTAAACGTTCTTGAGGACACAAGCTGCTCTTGGTCGCTGTCGCTATTATCTCCGATAACTGAGCAAATGTTCAAATTCACAGTCGCTATCACTTAAAAATAACTTCCATTTTTACACGATTACACAGTACAATCGGTCAAAATTGGAGGATTGCTACTATAGATCGAACACGTGCAAAATCCGATTTGTCAAAACTATGGATTGGATATTGAAAGCGCACAACTGTCACTACCATACAAATGTGAATCTAAAAATGCTATAACCTTTTGTTATTACATGAAGATCGTCATGATGGTTTCAAATAAATATCTTAAAGTTGGTCTATTTAACCCGGGCTCACTCGGAAGGAATCATGGTGATTTAATTGTGGCAGTCATGCAACATTCCATTGACGTGTTAGCTGTTAAAGAAACGGGGTTACGTCCGAACGAAGTGGGAAGGGCTTCGTGTATACCAGGGTACACGCTGCGCAGCGCCCCGCGCTCCACACGTGTGCGCGCCGGCCGCGGCGGCAGAGTCGCTTTTTACCTTAAAAATGGAATTTATGCTCGCGCTTGTGACCATCCTGTTTGTCTACAGGTGGAATAAATGTGGCTTAGAATTAATGTAAATGGCATCAAAATTCTTTTAGGTACTTACAGCGTACCGCCCTCCTTGGCTTACCGTTGATGTATTTTTAAATGCAATTGCTGATTCTATTAGTTCATTGTTGTTACGATAATTTAATACTCCTTGGAGATTTTAACATTAACTTATTAGACGCTACATCTGTAAATTCGAGAAGAATACTAGATTTTATAAATATGTTTCATTTAAAACAAATAGTTGATACACCCACCCATTTTACCGAGCATAGTGAAACCTTGATAGACCTTGTTTGCACTGATGCTCCCTATCGCAGTGTGTCTGCCGAAGTGAAAGGGAGTAAACTCTCAAATCATGCTTTGGTCATGTGTGAATTTAATTTTAAAAAGTTTAGGACTGTACCAAGGTGTGTGACCCGACGTAGTTTAAAAGACATAAATTTGGACTATTTTCAGAATGACGTCAGAGCCATTCCATGGCATATTATCTTAAGCTTAGAAAATGTTAATGACATGGTAATTTCGACAACTGACTTTATTATAAAACTCTTTAATTTACATTCTCCTACCAAATCGGTTTTGATCCATGATCACTCATATCCATGGATCACGGAGCATGTAAAGCTAATGATGAGATTGAGAAATGAAGCTCACACACGATATCACAAAACCAAAGATGTGACACATAAAAGATATTACAAAGATCTTAAAAATGTAGTGAATACCTCCCGTGATCTTGAAAAAACATGTCTGTCTGTTAATATGTTGCATATTTTAGGCAACATATTAACAGACATATAAAGGACGTTGTGGGAAAATCTCAAGTTAAATATACTTCCACCAAAACTTGAATTCGACCTTCCATCTCATCTCTGCTCGGCTGATGATATTAATAGACACTTTTTCAATTTGCCTGAATCCTATACCGATGTCTCAGTACTAGAATATTTTACGCTTCATAGAGCTGGAAATTTTGTCTTTACTCTCAAAATTATTACTTCTGCATCTATTTTGCGAATTATTAACAGTCTTAAATCTAATGCCCTGGGAGTCGATATGATTTCCTTGGACATGTCACTGTTAACGCTCCCATATACCCTGAAAACTTTAACATCCATAATTAACACCTCGATACTTTCTTCAACGTTCCCTGATCTTTGGAAAACAGCCATCGTACAACCTCTCCCCAAAAATACAAATCCACTTGCTTTTAAGGATCTTCGACCAATTAGTATACTACCTTGCATGTCTAAGTTGTTGGAGAGGGTCGTATGTCAGTAGCTCACAGACTTTTTAGAATCGAAAAGTATTCTTCCCCAGGTTCAGTCGGGTTTTAGAAAAAAAACACAGCACCTCTACGGCTGGAATGGATGTCACTGGGAACATTTAGGAGGCTCAAGACGCAGGAACTGTACTTGTGCTTCTTGATTTTTCCCGTGCATTTGATACAATAAATATTTCTCTCCTATTATCCAAATTAGTGTATTATGGTTTCGATGAGCCTTCAGTGAAATGGTTTGGTAGCTACCTGAATAATCGCTCTCAATATGTACAGTTTGGTGGGAGAGATGGTTCTGTGTCTTCGTCGTCCTTTGCCCATATGCGAAGCGGTGTCCCACAGGGTTCGATCTTAGGACCTTTGCTCTTCATTCTTTACATTGCAGATATCATTGGCTGCATAAAGCACTGCAAATTTCACTTATACGCAGATGACCTACAATTGTATCTGTCTTGCAAACCAAACGATATTGATTCAACAGTCGAAATGATAAATATAGACCTAGAGAGGATTTGTCAGTGGTCAAAACGTAACTCACTCACACTAAATCCTAACAAGTCCTAGTTTATAGTATTAGGCTCAAGGATACAGGTTTCGAGAATGGCTTCGAGAGAACCTCAATTAACTATTCACGGAGAAGCAATAGCTGGTGTCCGTGAAGCGTGCAATCTAGGTCTCATAATGGACTCAGGGCTACGTTTTGAATCTCATATAGTAGAAGTTGCTCGTAACAGTTTTTATCGCCTAAAAGTTTTATATAAGATGCGAGATTACATCAGCATGGATTTACGGTGGAAATTGGTGGAATCCTTGATTTTATCTAAATTTAACAATGCAGATACAGGTTATGGTTCTCTCTTAATACAGCGAGTTCAAAATGCATGCCTAAGATTTTGTTACCCAATACCTCCTAGAAGTCATGTATCGCCATTTTTAAATAAAAATAAACTATTAAATATGAATTCACGTCGGTATATACATTTTGTCACTCTACTCTTTGGTATAATAAAACATAAAAAACCGTATTACCTATATAAAAGTTTAATATAGTCTTCGCAAATATAGTTTTCGAGTGTGTGCGTTTGTGCGTTATAATTGCGTCTTGGTCGGCTAATTGTCCAGTGCCACAGAACTGTAGCATTTCAAGGGAGCTTTAAGTATGCCGCGGCAAAAATGTGGAATGATTTGCCTCCTCCTATTCGCGATGTGGCTTCTTTATCTGGCTTTCGCAAAAGAATTAAAAAGTTTACGCTAATAGGACAAATGAACGGCATCAACATTGACTTACAAATAAATGGACGATGGGTCTAATACAAAAACCACGAAAAAAATGTACCAAGTCAACTTATTCGAAATTTAAATTGTAATGTCATCGCAGTATCGCGCTGTCAGTAGAACAAATGAAGACTAAAGCGGAGTGTCGCGCTCTGTATACGATTTTAGCGCCTTACAAGTGCGGACACTTTTTAGCGCGGACCCGACGTCCATATAATTGTAAGTCAATGGGCATCAATCACTAAAGCTAGTTGTCAATTTATTTTAGTATTATTATGATTCGGATATTATTATTATTATTATTATTATTAATTTTGTTATTTTATATTGTTTAAGAGCACGCTGCGTATTGAAATTTTAAATGTTTAGGTTACGGATAAAATCCTTGTTATTCTTTTTAGTTTTTGTTAAATAGGCATAGCCATCAACCTCTTCTCAGGCTCCAGCTGAAAATCAGCGCTGTGACTCTGCCAGCATTAAGCTGAGCTGGCTAGCCTTTTCGGCTATTAATTATGTACTTAGTAATATATATATTGCTTGTTTTTTTTTAGTGGTTTATTCTTTAATTTAAATTTAGATTAATATTATTGTTATTATTTGTATATTTTATTTGTAATATCCGAATAAATGTTTCTTTCTTTCTTTCTTTAAAGGAAGTATGGGTAAATCTGGACGTACGATATGAAATACCCAATCTTGCTAGCAGGCAATTGTGAATTTACACAAGAAGTTATACGAGATGAACATGCTAAAAATTACCATATGGGCACTACACATACTTTGAATCAATCAAGGCAGAGGTATTGGATTCGTAAAGGTAGAAGCCAAGTAAAAAGGGTCTCAAGACAATGCCCCCAATGCATCAAACCTGGAGGTGGTCCTTATAAACTGCCAGAGATGGCGCCACTACCCGAAGAGAGAACTACCTATAGTAAAGCTTTTATTTTCACGGAATTAGATTACTTTGGGCCTACATTCATTACCTGTGAAGAGAAAACGGAAAAAAGATGGGTTTGCTTATTCACCTGACTGGCTGTAAGGGCAATCCACATGGAAATTGTGAGAGACCTTTCTGGGGAAGAATGCCTTTTGGCTCTAAGAAGATTTATTGCGAGTTGAGGTGTGCCAGTATTAATAACATCCGATAACGCATCTCAATTTAAAATTTCAGCCGAAGTTTTAACGGGAAATTATTGCATAGAACAAGGGATTAAATGGAGATTCATTCCAGAACTTGCCCCGTGGCATGGAGGTTTCTAAGAAAGATTAATTGGCTTAGTAAAAAACTGCTTAAAGAGAACTTTAGAGAAGCAAACTCTCACTGATAATCAATTCTATACTGTTATCAAAGAAATGGAATCGGTTTTAAATATCTACAGACTCGGAGCACATACTGACGCCAAGCGATTTATTGAATTTGGGGAAATGTATTATGATTGAACCATCTGGAGAACAGCTAATTACAGAAAGGTTGATTAATTGCGTTTTTTCTGAAGGTGTTAAAGTAGATCCGTAGTACTCTAATTCCGTCAATTAATTCCTTCGTGTTCTTGTCAGTCCGGCAAAAGACCGAGACAGAGTAACCGGCAAAAGACAAAGCGCGATTTTTAAGTCAAATTTCGTCATATTTGGTAAAGATGATAGGAAGCTGTAAGAGAAAGGGTAATACTATAAAATAAGAGAAGAGGAAGAACGCCACCTGTGTAGGTTTTTGGTGAAATTTGATTGTAACATGTAGTTGCAATAAAGAAACATGTTTATATTGTTAATTTTTATTCAGTTTACGTTGCATCTTCAACAATAAAATATAGTGATTTATTTGATCCGTCCTCTCGCATACGGAGACATAGAGTTCGTGGTGAATAAGTATATATCCTTGGCACTGAAAAAATAACTTTTATAAAATTATCCGTATAATGAAACAGAGCAACATTTAAACTGTATTATTTGGGTACCCGCTACCGCAGTCGCATTTTGTTGTTGGGTTAAACGCTTATTTAATTTCAAAAGCTTCAAAATACGTCGCCCATAAATTGCTGCAAATGCTTATTTTAAGGATATGAGAAATGTAATAGAGTTCAAAAACAAATGAAAATTTCTTCTCCATAAGTTAGATAATAAACAATACTTTAAAACGAGAGTCAGATCCTCTATTTTCTTACAACTACCCTGTTTGTACAGGGTAGGAATAATAGTTTGAAAGTCTTACT